TATGAAATGATACAAATGAAATAAACAATAACATCTCACACTTAGGAAAAAATTAACTTTAATCACAATTATTTCAACATAACATATGACATACTAGTTTAATTCCAGTATGTCAATTTGTGACATACTACTTCATTTCAAGCATCTGAAAAACCTTTGCAATATTGATTTGTACAGTCAAATCTCAGTAGACAAATTAAAGGCTTTTCATATGTCTCTATTTACTTTTTCTCTATAACATTTTCTTGTTGCCATATTCTGGTGGCAGAATATTAATGATTTTTTTTTTATTTTGACTTGAATTACAGGCCTGAAGAAGAAGATTTGTTATCACTCTTTCTATTATTTTTTTTTTTTTGAGGCGGAGTCTCACTCTGTTGCCCAGGCTGGTCTCGAACTCCTGACCTCGTGACCTGCCTGCCTCAGCCTCCCAAAGTGCTGGGATTACAGGCGTAAGCCACCATGCCCAGCCTATTATTTTCTTTTTCTTTTCTTTTTCCTTTTTTTTTTTTGAGACAGAGTTTCCCCTCTGCTGCCTATGCTAGAAAGCAATGGAGTAATCTCAGCTCACTGCAACCTCCCCCTCCAGGGTTCAAGTGATTCTTGTGCCTCAGTCTCCTGCGCAGCTGTGGCTATGGGCACGTGCCACCAAATCTAGCAAATTTTTGTATTTTTGGTAGAGACGGAGTTTCACCATGTTGGCCAGGCTGGTCTCGAACTCCTGGCCTCAAGCGAGCCACCCGTTTCAGCCTCTCAAAGTGCTACGATTTTAAGAGTGAGCCACCGTGCCTGGCCTATTATTTTCAAGTGTAGATTAAAACAATACATTCATGTGATAAAAAAATACAAAATATTAAGTGATCAAAACTGCCTGCAAATTTCCCTGTGTGCATCTCTGCTAAAAGATAGAAGTTGGAAATGCATCTGAAACACATAGTTTAGAAGGGAGAGGGAAAACTACCAATGATAACGACACAAATATTTACTGTATGTTCACCTGATACCAGCCCTTGTGCTATGTGCTCTCTTTCATCCAAGTACTGACCAGGCCTGACCCTGCTTACTTCTGGGATCAGATGAGATAGGGCGTTCAGGGTGGTATGGGGGCAGACACCATGTTCTCTCTATACATTATCTGCCCTTCTCCACCCCCACCCATTCTGATTTCCGTGGCCACCCTCCTCCTGTATCAACCAAAACCTTTTCCAGGATCTGATGAGTGTGTGGGCATTGAGCACCTTAATCCGGCATTCAGTTCATCCCACAGTGCCAGGTATGCTTACCAGAAGTGGCCCACTAGGCACTCGCATTCCATACCCAGCTCCACGCACCAGCAAGCCGGGCTTCTTACCCATTTAAAGTGTGAGAGTAGGTGGAGCTCCTTCGGGTCCTAAAACCTCCAATCATTTGCTTTATGGATGAAACCACGTGGGGTGGGTTTTGGAAGAGTGCCAGCCATCCCGAGGGAAACCTCAGAGGGAACTAGCTACTAGATGGTTCCATCAGTCTTTCACCCATATATACCCAGGTCTAATGACCGATTGATTTACACGTCAGGACCGCTAGGGACTTCCACTAGTTTCCTCCAGCTTTGCCCTGACCAGGCACAGTTCACTATCTTTCAGATCCTAACAAGTGCCCTGGTGCTCCACCTCCGG